GCTGGCTGATGTAATGGAGCTATGAATAAAGTGCTATTCAGGGCACTGGGGAGAGAAACATTAATTTCGTTAGGGAGGGTAAAGGAAAGTCCTCCAAAGAGACATTTGATCTGCTCTTTGGACTGAGTCACCAGGCAAATAGCTTTTCTTTTCTTTTCCGGGACTGGAGATCAAACTCAGAGCCTTGAACAGTCTGAACCCCTGAGCACTGTACGACTGAGCTCTTCCTACTTCCTTATTATTGGTATCAATATGATTTATTTGTTTTAAATATTAAAGAGTCTCTCCAGGTTTGGTAGATAGTTGTACTGAGATACAGTCTAGGTGATTGGGTCCTTTAAAGACACTGGGCGCCCCCAGCAAGGGAAGCTGGGCTAGGGTGGTAATCCAGGAGCACTTGGCAAAACACAGGAAATTCTCTAGGTTTATATATAGACTTTATAGGGTAGGGGTCTCTGAGCTCAAAGAGGCAGGGTTTCTGAGATCAGCAGGTCAGTGAAGACCACTAGGTAAGATATAAGGGAGTAACTGATATAGGAAGCTGATCTGATTGTCCCAACCCACCTTGGGGCCATTAAGGTTAGAAACTTCAAAGCTTAGGGAATGTAGAGATGGGGCATACTGCATGGTCGATCCCCTCTACAGTAACACAGACTGACCTGCCGTTTACACCATAACCCGAGCTGACCTCGAACTCAGAGACATTTCTACCCAGCATCCTGAGTGCTGGGATTACAGGTGTTACCCATCATGCTCTGCTTCTTTTTAATTTTTTTTTTTATTTGGGATCTGTGTTTGTTTGTTTTGAGACAGATTTCTCTACATAGCCTTAGCTGTCCTGGAACTCATTATGTGTTCCAGGCTCGCCTTGAACTCACAGAGATCTGCGTGCCTCAGATACCTGCTCCCACCACCTCAGTGCACCACCAATCTGAGTTTTTAGGACAGGAGATCACTCTCTAGCCCAGGCTAGCCTTGAATGTGCAGTCATTCTACTGCCTCAGTCTTCTAGATTGTTAAGACTGAGGTGGGTATCATGCCCAAGTCTTAGATTCTTGACATTCAAGAACAAGGAAGGGAAGCTGGGTGTGGTGGCACACACCTTTAATCTGAGCACTCAGGAGGCAGAGGCAGATGTATATCTAAATTCACAGCCAGCCTGATCGTAACAAAACGATGCAGTAAGTGGTTGGGATTATAACTCAGTTGGCGGAGTGTTTACCCAGCATACGCTAAGCCCTGGGTTGCCCGGCACCATATAAACAACGCATGGTAACACATACCTGTCATCTAGCACTTGGGAAGTAGAGGTAGGAGGATCAGGAGTTGAAGGACAGCCTGGGTTACCTAGGTCCTGTCTCAAAAGAAGGAAGGAAGGATGGACGGGTGGATGGAAGGGAGGAAGGGAGGAAGAGGAAGACAGTGCTGTCGTGGAATTTACACTTTTGAGCTAGGTGGAACAGAAAACAAGCTAAGTGAACAAGATGATCTCAGGAGTCTCTTAGTAGGAAGCACATAAGTTGGGTATGACAGCGCCTGGGGGTCAGGGAACGAGTAAGACTGGGTGCTCATGGAGATCTCTCTCGAGGAAGCACCGCCTCGAGATCCACATGTTAAGGAGCCAGGTTTCTTAGGCAAAGTGTTCTGGGTAGAGGCACTTAATGTAATCGGACTCAACAGATTACGGTTTGACTATATCTCAGAAAGTCAGAAAGAGAATTGTGACCTCTGGTGAACGGATAAAAACTTTCTGTCGTTCTCTAAACAATAATCTAGCAACTGTTTATATAGCATATATTACACATATAGCATGTGTAAATGAGACATATGTAAAGTACATCAGTGGATGTGCCCGGGGATGTGAGCATCTACATCTGCAGGAATTGGAACCAACATGGAGGGGGGGTTGGAGCCAATCTCAGTGGGTTTCAAGGGATGGCCTCATGAACATCCTACAAGACAAGGCCTGGATATTGGGAATGGAAGGGAGGCCAGCCTGACTTGCTCAGGGGGAGTAAAGGACAGATCCTGGAGGGCCCAAGGGCTTGGCAGGCCTGGTGAGGAGGCCCTGGACTACCAGAAGGAATTTGTTTTGAAGAAATACCATCTGGCTAAGTAGAGTATGAATTAGAAGTAGGGAGAGCTACTGTGTGCAGTAACTTCCTCAAAACAAGAGGCTCAGACCATGGCGGCCTCTGTGAAAACAGACTTGCTGGAAACAACCTTGGTTTTTGTTTGTTTGCTTTTAGTTTTCGAGTCAGGGTTTCTCTGTGCAGCCCCGACTGTCCTGGAACTAGCTCTGTAAGCCAGGCTGGCCTCAAACTCACAGAGATCCTCCTGCCTCTGTCCCCTGAGCACTGGGACTAAATGCCTTATGACATGGCCCTCATTGCCCATGTTGCAACTGTGAGGCAGACATGACCTGAGGGTGGATTAGGGTGTGGAGGGAAAGGGAACAGAAGATGGGAGTTTTTCAAATGCTACAAACAGGTCAAAATGGGCTGGGTATGATGCACATGGCCTAGAATTCCCACACTCAGGAGGCAAAATGATCATCTGTAGCTCAAGGTCATCCTCAGCTATAGGGAGAGTTTCTGGCTAGCTTGGTTTCCAAGAGACCTGTATCAAAAAAGCAAATCCAAATGGGGGCTGGTGGGGAGGGGGACAAATTAGAGCAAAGCATAATAACACATATGTATTAAAATGTTACATTGTAGCCAAGTGGTAGTACAGCATAACACATATGTATTAAAATGTTACGATGTAGCCAAGTGGCAGTACGGCATAACGCATATGTGTTAGAATGTTACAAGGTAGCCAAGTGGCAGTGCAGCGTACCTTTAAGAGGCAGAGGCAGGTGGATCTTTGTGAGCTTGAGGCCCACCTGGTCTACAGAGTGAGTTTCAGAACCACCAGAGCTATCACACAGAGAAACTCTGCTGTGGGGTAATGTTCTTGTATACAGTAAAGATTTGTCACTCGTGGTTTAATAAAGTGCTGATTTGGGAGCTGGAGAGATGGCTTGGTGGTTAAGAGAATTGGCTGCTCTTACAGAGGACCTAGGTTTAATTCCCAGCACCCACATGGCAGCTCACAACTGCCTGTAACTTCAGTTCCAGGGGATCTGACACCCTCATACAGATATACATGCAAACAAAACACCCAGTGCACATAAAACAAGAATAAATAGATCAATAATTTTTTTTTTTAAAAAAAAGTGCTGATTGGCCAGTAGCCAGGCAGGAAGTATAGGCAGGGTGACCAGGCTAGGAGAATTCTGGGAAGAAGAAAGGCAGAGACACAGTCACCAGCCAGATGCAGAGGAAGCAAGATGAGAATGCCTCACTGAGAACAGGTACCAAGTCACATGACTAAAAACAGATAAGAATTATGGATTAATTTAAGTTGTAAGAGCTAGCTGGTAATAAGCCTGAACAATAGGTTAAACAGTTTATAATTAATATGAGCCTTGGTGTATTTTGGGGGGACTGAATGGCTGCAGGACCAGGACAGAAACTTTCATCTACAAAGCCCTGTCTCAAAAAACAAAAGCAAAAAACCAAAAACCAAAAAAAAGCCAAAATATAAACTACTGCTTTATATGCTAATTTTAAGTTAATAAAAACAAAAAAGAGGAGTTGGGACTTACTTGATAGAATTCTTGCCTGATGCACACTAAATCCTAGATCTGAGGCCCAGTACTACATAAAGCTGGGTATGGTGGGTAAATGCTTATAATCCCAGCACTTCAAAGTAGGGTGACTCATAGGGAGTTCAAAGTCAGTCTGAGTTACAGATGATATCAATACAGATGCATTTGCACACACACAGACACACACACACACACAAACAAAGACACACAGACAGGCATCCACAGATATACACACACGGAGAACTTGACTTGGCACTACATACCTATAATTCCAGCATTTAGAAGGCTGAGGCAGGAGAATTGCTATGACTATGAAGCCAGCCTGGCCTACAGATTTTGCCTTTGTCTTAAACATCAAAACAAAATTAGGACATATAAAAGTAATTTTGAGGCTGGAACTATTGCTCCAAAGGTAAAAGGGCTTATGCAAATCTAATAGATTTTCTGCCCCTGTGATAATGGGTTTCTCCAACAATGCAGTAATTCAGATCAAGCTGAATTAAAAAAGTATAACAACAGGTTTATTTGAGCAAAGCAACTCCCAGATGGGTTCTCCAGTCCCAGAGATGGAGGCCAGAGAAGTCACACACCTGAATTAAAACAAGGAAATTATATAGGTTGTAGGTGAAGGGTGATGACATGTCTGTCACAAGCTGGGTTTCTGTCCACGTATAGTCAAAAGCTGAATGCTTTAAACTGGGATGTGGGCAGCTGGTAACTTCAGGGGAGGAAGCTGCAGTAGCCACCAAGAATGCAGAACTGGGGTTTTTAGTGCCTTCCCTTTGTTCAGAGACAGAGTGGGTGGGGTTTGGAGAAAGAGAGAGAGCCAGAGAGACTGAGAAATGGGGCTCCCCAGATCATGTAGGGGTGAGCAGGAGTTTCCAACCGAACACTAAGAACCTGAGTTTAACCCTTGGAGTTTAGTGGCAACTTAGCCAGAAGTTCTCAGGTCAGGTAGCCTGGAGCAAGCAGTGAAAAGAAAAAACAAGAGTGATCTACTCAACGAGGTGGCAGCTGACACTTGAGGGCTCTCCAGTAGCGGACAATGCTTATACCATGCTTACACCATGCTTACACCGTATCTCTCTAATCTGCAATCTCCCTTTGCTTTGAATGAAGTTATCTTGAAGGGCTGGAAGAGTGGCCGAGCAGTTAAGATCACAAGCTGTCCTCCCAGCGGATCAGAGTTCCACTCACTGCATCCACATGGGGCGGGGGGGGGGGGGCGCCTCATAACTGCCTGTAGCTCCAACTACAGGCAATGGAACACCTTCTTTGACCTCCGTCAGCATCACACGCACGTGGTACATGTGCACACAGTTATACACACACACACAAAAAAACAGTTAATAAAAGTTTCAGAGTCAATCATATAGACAAATGAGAAAATATTATCTTTGGTCTGCAGAAGGCAGCGATCCTACATAAAAATGGATCCGTCTGACTTGGACAGCTGGCTAAGGCTGATCATTCCCCTCGGCACAATTTTTTGAATTGCCACTCTAAATATTATATTGTTTCCCTTATTATTTTGTTCAATATCTCTGTGGATTAAGTGTACTGGATTATAGTAGCAAACAAAACAACAAAAAAGAAGAAAACCAAGTACAGCTACTTCTTTAATCTCTTGCTACAATTTCTCTTTCTACTTTTGTAAAATAAACAAAGCCAACGTAGAATTAGCGAACTGAGCCCCACAAGTTGTCCTTTCACAGCTTCTACACACACACACACACACACACACAGAGAGAGAGAGAGCAAAATAAATATGCTTTAAAAATCGACCTTGAAAAATGAAAAGAGAAGCCAGCCGTGGTGGCACACGCCTTTAATCCCAGCATTCCGGAGGCAGAGGCAGGCGGAAGTCTGTGAGTCAAGGCTAGTCTGATCTACAGACTGAGTTTTTTGTCTCAAGAAACAAAACAAACAAATAAACATAAAAAGAGAAAACAAAAACAGAAAACCGAAAGTGACTTTGTTCACAGCAATAGCGGCATACACACACACACACACACACACACACACACGGCAAAAGTGGGGACACAGGACTGATAATTGAAGCTAATTGAAAAGAATGGGTGAAGGCTTTGGGGATGAATAAACTTGGCTTGGCAGCACACAGAGGAGTAAAACTCCCTATGATATATTTGCCTGGGAAACCAGGAACCTTTCGAACTTTTATTGCCACAGTTGTTGTTGTCGTTGTTGTTCTTTTTCTTTTCTCTCTCTCTCTTTCTTTCCTTTTTGTTTGTTTGAGACAGGGTGTCTCTATCTAACAGTCCTAGCTGTCCTGGAACTAGCTCTTGTAGAACCAGGCTGGCCTCACAGAGATCTGCCAGACTCTGCCTCCCGAGTGCTGGGATTACAGGCGCCCAGCTTCTTCTTTTTTTAAACTGAGTCTTCTGACTCTGAGTACATTTGTTGCTGTCTTTTCTACACGTCGCTTCATCTCTGTTGTTGCCCTCGGGATAAATATCTGTCTAGTTCATTGGCCCTCGCTTCTTTCCTCTCAATAGGTTCTCAGAATACATTCTTGTCAAGCAGGATATGGTGTTCAAGCTGAGCAGTGAGGAAACCTACTGAGGGCCAGAGAAGGTGTTTGGGTTTACAGAGGAGAACATCTAGCATGTAGGCCAATCACCCCTCCCCCGCCGCATCTTGGTTTCAGTTCTACTCACAAAGCTTGGCCCCTTTGCCTGGGAGGAGGCATGATCTGGCTTAATCTTTTTTTTTTTTTTTTTTTTTTGCTGGCGGGCTGTTTCTATTGTTTTCCAGCGGGTGGTTCTTGTTGCCTCTTCAATTGCCTGCAATCACACAACACGCCTGCAGGGGTCCTCAGAGCACCCCACACCAGGCAGGTCTTCTTTAGCTAATGTAATCTTTTATTTAAACAGAAAACAGTAGCCTCCAATTTTGTTACATAACATACCAGTATCCTAGGGTGTACAGAATCTACTGTTAGGGAGTAGGGAACCTGTAGAAACAAATACATTCACTAATACAATATTGCAGAAATGTAACAAATTTGATTTTCTAGGTTTTTTTCTTTTTTTTTCTTTTTTCTTTTCCAGACAGGGTTTCTCTGTATAACAGTCCTGGCTGTCCTGGACAACTCATTTTTCAGACCAAGCTGGCTGGCCTTGAACTCACTGAGATCAGCCCTCCTCTACCTCCCCACCACCCAGCTGATTTTCTGGTTCTTTATTTGAAACTTGAGAGTTGGAAGGGACTTCGGAAACCATCTTATTTCAGCCTCCGTATTTATTTTTGCAGTAATAGGAATTGATTCTAGAGCCTCAAGCATAGCAGGCAAGAGGTCCATCTCCAGCCCCTGATTTCAGGCTGTGGGAACTAAGGCCTAAGGACACAAAGTAACTTATCCGGGAGGCAGCCTGGGCTGGTAATCAAATCTGAAGAATTTAATATACGTCCTTAAAACTTAAACCTTTCAAGTTTGTGATTAATTAGCTGAAGGCTTTTTGCACCCAGAATTTAGACTTCTCAAAGTAATCAGTTGTAAACAATGACAGTGTTCTTACACTGAAACTGATAGCTGCCAGCGACCGTCAGACAGTTTTGGTTTTACTAACTTTGGGTCTGCATTTATACCCAACCATGTGATGTCCATTAACTGAAGACAACTTGGTTGATTGCATGTTTATTAGAAACAGCTGGGTGGAGTTCCAGGTGACATTTTGAGTTACCCGGGGATCTACCCAAACACCATACTGGGTTTATGCAATAATTACTGCAGGTCATGAGACAGAAGTTACCTGGGCCTCCTGCAGCACCTCATAGCCAGAAATGTACTTTTTTTCACCTAACCTAGGCAGGCTAGGAGCTGGCTATGCAGTTGAGCATGACCTTGAACTTCTGCTCCTTTTTCTGGCTCCACTTCCCAAGCACTTGCATGATAAGGCATGGACTACCCTGCCAGCTACCATGTATTTTCTTCTTATTTTCTCTTTTCTAAAATGTTAACGAAAACATGTTCTGCACGCCATGCAGAACCCCAGTGGAAAGGCTAGACCTGCTCTGTCCTCTGGCTCTGGCAGGAATTTTTTTATCAAACTGACCTGTTTTCCTGCTGGAAGACTCTGCCCCACTCCACCCACCTGGTACCTCCCTGGATTTCCCGATTGTCAGGAGTTTATTTTTTAACCTTCTCTTCCTTGAAAAGCACCACCCCACTGACCCAGAATGCCGACTCCTCCTCCTTGGTCATTTTGACCATTCTTATTCTACTTTCTGGTTGTGTTAAGCGACCTCATTAACTTCTGTAGACCCTGGAAAACCTATTGCTAAAGGGCGCCCCTATTCCTCTAAAGTCCTTCTGCATGCTCTTCCACCCCCAGTACTGGGATTGAACCCAGGGCCTGGCACACACCAGACCGTCCTTTTTCTGGTTTTATCTGGTCGAAATGACTAGCAGGGCAAAGAGAATTGTCTCTCTGCTTCTGGGCAGGGTATGGGTGGGCCTGCTGAGACTGTTCCTATCTTATTAAATCCACTTGCCTTGAAGTCTGAGGGCCACTTCTGGTAACATAGGCTCTGGGTCAGGAATTAAAAGCGAAGGGAAGAAGGAATTACTATCTAGGTTTTCCAAGAAGTACTGTAAATCCCACGTCCCATCGTAGCCCCGGGTCCTGGGAATCGCAGTAAACCCAAACAGCCTGCTATCTCAGAGAGCTCACCCAACCCAATCCTCTCTCCTCTCAGCCCCGCCCGCTAGCTGCCCGGACTGGCGGGACCAGGACCTCGCCACACTCCTCGCACGCGCGCCCCACCAGGGCAGAGGGGCGGGTGGGGGTTGGGGGCGGGAGGCAGGGGAAGCAGGGGCGGAGTTCCGTCCTCCGCTGATTGGCTCCTCGCTGATGGGCTGCGGCCGTGCCGGACCAACCGGTGGCGTGTTGCTATGTGCTGAGCCGATGGGATAGGCGCGGGGGCGCGTCTGTCACCCGGCAAGCCCCCGGCCCGGACTCGGAGGGATGCGGAGCGGCAGTGGCGGCGGCGGTGGCGGAGACTGTGGCTTTAAGAGCGCTCAGGGAGCGCCAGAGTCAGCCGTGCAGTCCTTCGTCGCCAAGCACTTCGGAGCAGCCGAGCCTGGCGCTGGCGGGACCGGGCAGCCTGCCGCCAGGTAAAGGGATTGCTGGCCGGTTGCGCGTGGGCGTAGGGCGCTGTCCGCGCGGGTTCGAGCTGTTCGCCTTGGAGGCGGTCGGGCTCCCGCACACCACGCAGCCTAGCTCGGTTGGGGCGATGCTGGGGAGGTCCCTCGGGATCTCCCCAAGGGTTCTCGGGGCGCCAGGGGCGGGGAGCGGGCTGCCGCGGCCACGTGACCGGTTTGTTTACAAACACTGGCGCGCGCTCCGAGTTCGGGGCTTGGGGAAGACCGCGAGCTGACTGGCGATGGTGGAGACCGACCTGCCGCTTCCCTTGTTTGGCTTGATTTCCCCCGCGGGTGGCACACGGTGACACGGGCTATGTGGTCTGTGTCTCCACCGAGACACTTGGGTCTGGGGCACACGGCCCTCAAAAGTCCCCGGAGTGCTACGCCAGCCCCAGGCCGAAAGAACCGCAGCAAGTTCCTGCCTGGACGCTTCCCGGCACCTCCCCAGCGGCCTTGCCAAGGAGTGGGCGCGAACTCTGCTGCCAGACCCGCTGCGGGGGCCTCTGCGGAGGGTTCCTCCCCGGAGCTGGCTCCTGTCTCTCCCGGCTTCAAGTTTCACCTGCTTGCTTGCTGACTCCTTTCGGGTGATTTTCCTGAAAGAGTGGGGGCACGCGACAATACTCGCGTCTTGTGGCTGGCACTAAGGAGGGGGACCATGCCTGCTCCTTTGGACCCCTTGTGCAAACAACTGCCTGCCGCCTCTTGACCTCACTTTTACCCACCGTTCTAGAAAGCTGAGTGGGCATCCCCCAGTTTACCCGACCTTCCACAGTCCGGCCTGAAAATGGCAAATTGGGCTGCTCAGGAGCTCTGCTGGGTGTTTGTTTTTTGCCTCCTTGTTGATGTATTTGTTTTTGCCACGTTGGAGTGTCTTTGAGCTACTGACTTGGAAAGGCTAAGGGCTAACAAGGGCCCTAGCTACTGGTCTTTTGTCCTGTCGTTCTAGCAAGATGGGCTCTGCCCGGAGCTTTGGACAAGACTAGGATTACTTTTCTGTATCCCATTTACAGATCATTAGAGACACAAGGGAATTACGGAAAAACCTCAGGCTTGTAGCTCTGCGATAGTCTGGCTTGGGGGTTCAGAATCTGATCAGTAAGATGGAGTTCACACTTTCCCACCTTTGCCACACACTGCCATAGGCTTTACCTGAATCCAGTCAACTTTCTTTGCTTTTAATGCTGATAGTCTTACCTCCAAGGAAGTCTCATTCTTTTTTTAAATAATTTTTTAAAATTCTGTAGTTTACAAAATAATGACTTTATTATGCCATTTTCATACGTATGTATCTTTGTGCCTGGTTCACACTCAACTATGACTGTTCCCCCATTTTTGTCCTGCGCTGTGAAATGAGTGGAAGTGAGTTCTTTATACTGATAGACAGCCCAGCATGAGGAGAGCTGGGTAAACGTCACTTTGATTCTACCATTTGCTCCCTACTCCATGACAGAGTCAAAATTGGATAGAATGGGTACCTGGGCTCATGCCCTGCCTCAGTTGGGCTCGGCCTTAGCAGTTTAGAATTCAGTGACACCATTTCTTGGATCTGATCTCTCTGCTTGAATTGAGGGAGGAATGGAAAATAAACAGTTTTCCTAGCTAGCGATAGTGGTATACGATCAACCCCTGAACTCTTGGAGATAGAGGCAGGAGTATCACTCTAGCCAGCCTGATCTGCATAAAAGGATTCCAGGCTAGACAGGGCTATGTAAGGAGACCCTCTTGTCTCAGAAAATAAACAGAAATCTTTCAGTTCTTTAGAACCATGATTTTCAAACTTTCGTGGATCTGCAGTAAGGAATATGTTAAAGCAATGTGCACTGGCCAGCTACTGAAAGAAGTTCTGGGAAGTGGTAACTATTACCCGCAGTACCTGCAGTATTCTGGGATGTTTGTTTTCCCGCTTCGTTAGAAAAAAAAAATCAACGGGTGGTCATGACTCATTAATTTGATTTCCTAACCAAACGGGTCACGACCTTCAGTTTGAGAAACATTGGTTTAGGGCGGAGGTCCTCTAGCTTGAATGCAAGATGGCTAGAGTAGAGTTTAGAAATAGAGTGGTTAAAAGAAATACATATGTGTATCTGTGTATTTCCTATACATTAAACATATATATGCATTTGTATACTGTGTTAATTACTCCAGATTAACTTTCATACTGCAGCCCAGGCTGGCCTGTAACACCGTGAATAGCCCCAGCCCGAGCCTCCATAGTATAGAGATTACAGGCATTAGGCCCCACACACAACCTGTTTAGAGTTGCTAGTTGGGGGTGCTGCGTTTGTTAACCTGTGCCCCGTTAGAGGACAATGCAGGTAGCTGATTAGAAACACTGGTCTCCTGGGAGTTGATGGCAGTGCACACTGAGAATGGTTGTGAAGTGCAAAGGCAGGAAGCTGTCCCACACTTGGGTGCAAGCTTTCAGATCGCTCAGCTTAGCCGGTTGCCCTTTGAAAGGGGCCCTGGCATGGTGGCGGACACCTTTGGTTCCACCACTCAGGAGGCAGAGGCAGTCAGATCTCTTGTTCTGCATAATAGCTTGTTCCAGAGCAGCTGGCACTACAGAGTGGGACCATGCTCAAAAGCTTAGGTAAACAGGCAGCCCTTGCGCCCTGCTCCACTCTAGCTCCCGGGAAGCTGCTGCTCCCAGCTCTGTAGCACTGGATGCTTCTGAGTGCGTGGAGGGGAGGGGGCTGGAGCTGTGAGCTGTGCTGATGCTGATGTGCTCTTCACAAATTGTGTGCGTTTTCGTTGTCATAATGATGTTAATGGTTTTGAGGCAGTCGGTGCCTGGGGGGATTAACAACTGGCCAGCAGAAGAAAGGATTGATTTTGTTTTGTGTCTGGCTGGTATTCCAGACTGTATAGCCCGAGGGAAAGGCAGGCTGTGACTTTATTTTGATTTTGGGGTTGGGGGGGGTTGTGGTGGGTGGAATCAGGGACTTGTCTATCATCAGATGTTAATAAGAGACTAAAGTTCCCACCTCTCTTGCCTAGTCAGCTGTCTCTTTGAATTGCATGGGCACAGTGTGTGCAGGTGGGTCTTCTTAGTCATTCGGTTCCTGATGCTTTTACCTCTGCCTTTAAGCACAGATACACAGAAACACGCCGCTGGTGGAGCTGTACATTCAGTTTCACTTGCTTTGTCCAAACAGGTTGGTGGAAGAGGTTTCTTTGAATCAAAGCTACAGTTTAGCTTTACAAAGGACACTTAATTATCCAAATTCAGATTCTACTCTGGTGCCTTCTAGGAGAGCAGGCACTGGGAGATTGTTTAAATTAGCTTTAATAACGCTCCATTTGGCCTAGCTGCTCATATTCAGCATATCCAGTTTTGAGCACAGAGAAAAAAATGAAAACAGCAAGAGTGGCAAGGGCTAACGAGTCTTAGGAAGCAGAGGGGAAAGGATTGGCAAGGAGATCAGGCACGGTTCCCTTTGTAAACTATCTCAGTCTTTCTCCGGGTCTACAAACCAAACCACTGGGTGCTCTTGACAGGTACAAAGTATCATCTTGAATCCTAGCCCATAGTGATGGAGAGGCCGCCAGCGCCCTCCTGCCTGCCTGCCTGCCTGCCAGCCAAAGGTATTTTGTTAGGGCTGACAGGTGATGTTATCCATAGCAAAAGGTGCTGTCTGCTTGGGTCTGGAAAAGATTGCATCTTCCTGAATTTCCCTGTGGGTTGCAGCAATTTCTTCCTCATGCTCGTCAGCCAGGTGCAGCTTCATTCTCCGTGTCCTCCCCCGGTTTGCCCCACCTTATCACCTGCCTTTCTGCCCTCTTTTCTGCTGCAACTACTTGGGCCTTTCTGAAACATGCCATGCTCACAAGCTGTCTTCAGAAGACTTGCTATGTGCCCAGGCTGGCTTTGAATCTCCTGGTCCTCAAGCCTTTACCACTGACTGCTGGGATAATAGGTATGCGTCACCACACCTAATTTTTAAGCCTTTTTTTTTTTCTTCTGGGTCACAGCATTTTCTTTTCAAAGATTTACTTCACTTGTATGAGTGTTTTGTCTGCGTGTATTTATGGTGCCAGGTTAGAAGAGAGTATCATAACTCCCCTGTAACTGGAGTTAGGATGGTTATGGGCCACCATGTGGGTGCTGCGAACCAAACCCAGGGCCCTTACAAGAGCAACAAGAGACATAATCTCTAACCTTGCTTGTTCTTGTTTGTTTGGTTTTTTTTTCTTTTTGTTTTTGAGACAGGATTTGTCTGTAGCTTTGGAGCCTGTTCTGGAGCTAGCTCTTGTAGATGTTTGTTTGTTTGTTTTTTTCTTTTTGTTTTTGAGACAGGATTTGTCTGTAGCTTTGGAGCCTGTCCTGGAGCTAGCTCTTGTAGACCAGGCTGGCCTCGAACTCACAGTACTGCCTGCCTCTACCTCCCCTCACAGTACTGCCTGCCTCTACCTCCCCTCACAGTACTGCCTGCCTCTACCTCCCGCCAAGAGCTGGGATTAAAAGGTATGCACCACTACCAGTCAGCTTGTTTGTTTTTTCTACTGTTCCTTTCCTTTTCCAGAGGAAAACCTGCCCCTCCCTGACTAGTTACCAGCAGCTGCTCACCTCTTTCTTTGCCCACAGGCCTTTTTAATCCCTTAACTTTGTTTTGACAAGGTCTCTCGTAACTGAGGCTGGTCTTGAAATTTATGTCCTCTATCTCCCTAATGGTGTAATTACGGGCTGAGTTCTACGTCTTGCTGGTCTCCCAATGTCATGCATGCTAAACTACATCCCCAGTTTCCAACTTTATTATTTTTAAAATCCATTTACTTTCATGTGGAAATTTATTGTTTACTTGTTTATTGGAATGGAATATTGAGCATCGATTCCGTTCTGACTTGCTCACTGCCAACAATACTTGGCATTCAGCAGATACTGGATAAATAAATAAATACCTGTTGGTTAAAAGCATAATGACCAAAGAAACCAGCCAAGCTTTAAGCTTTAATCTCTATAGAGCAGGAAG